ATTCACCAGGAGTTGGTGAAAGGAAGGAGGGGGGAAGGGTCAATTTCGCCTTGTTTAAGATCCAAGGAGTTTGGATCTGTATTCACCAGGGAATTGGTGAGAGGTTTCTCAAGGCTTCCCAGGGAGGGAATCCAGTGAGAATGGTGGCAGCGGGACCAGAGCTAAGCTGGTAGTTAAGCTTAGAAGTTTTCATGCAGGCCCCTACATTTGTACCCTAAAGTTCAAAGTGGGGATACAGCCTTCACAGGCCTGCTTTACAGATTGGCGGAGTGGCCCCTCCTCAGGATACCCCACCCCCAGCCATCGCTCCACTCAGCCAGCGCCAATCCCTTGAGCATCAAGGCAGTGATCTTACGGGAGTTAGGAGCCAGGTTGAAGTCAACGTCCCATTGTCTCCCTTAGCAATCCCAATCCAGACCCTTAGGCTGCCTCTTCGCTAGGGAAAAAAGCTTATTTATTTCTCCTGGGGTAACGGACATGAGTCAAACCCTGGGGCAGACCCAACGATTTGTAGCTCTCCCCCATGTCAGCTGGTCGAGTGACCATTTATTGAGGGATCTTCATTGTTACCTGACCTGCTAACTCCTCTGAAAACTGCAGCCTCCCCTGGCCTCACTGGACCTATCCCCTGGGTTAGTTCATCGGGCTGCCACCGCCCGTTCCAAACACACCTGTTCTCAGTGCTGGTGAGGCCACTGGAAAGGGAACGCAGAGAAGGCTGCACTGAACTGATTGCAGATCGATCCCCAGCGCTGATCCCTCCTTCCCACCTCGCCTGCCCAACCCTGCCATGCGGTCTGTTGCATTTCGCTCACTGCTCCATTGCCAGCAAAGAATAAAAATGAAGTTACAAAAAAAAAGTGTTTCGGGTACTGAGCGATCAACCCGAGGTGTGAAATCCAGAGCAGCTGCTGCATCTGCCAGGGCCAGGAGGGAATTAACCCCTACAGGGGAAGGCTGGGCTCATGGTTAATGCGCTAAGCTGGGGCCTAGGACACATCACATGGATTTTTTCCTACACATTATAGAAAGGTGCTCAAGGGGCCAGGCATCCTCTTCCCAAGTGTGATGTGATGGTCTATAGCTGACACCAGCTAACCTCTCTTGTGCTTTATGTGGTAGGACATTGATCCATAAGCATCCAGGATCATTTTCTTTCCAATTATCAGTGACTCGGAAACAGGTGGTGCCATTTTTGACACTGAGTGCACATCCCCTCCCCTTTTCTCCACTTGATCCTTCCTGACTAGCTGGTAATCATGGATTTTAACTGTCCAGTCGTGGGAATCATCCCAGCAGGTTGCAGTCACACCTGCTACACCAAACTGATGCTCCTAGAGGAGCAATTCCAATTCCTCGTGTTTGTTCCCCAGACTCCTCGCACTGGTGCAGAGGCGAGTCAAGAATTTCTTCTCTTCATTTAATTGGGGTTCCTGGGTTAATTTTGTTCTTGATTTTTGCCGAGAGCTCATTTCTTCCCCCTTTTTACCCTCCCCTTTGCCTATTAGTTTAGCCTCCTCTTGACTTTTCTAGCTGGCCTGTCCCCATGGAGATCGGTCCCCGTTCCCCTGAGGTGGAGGCCATCCAAACTCTACAGCCCCCTCTCCCCATAGAAGATAGACTGATGTTCCATAAACCCTGCACCCTTCACACCACCGATATAGAGAGTTATTAGCCCCCATCTCAGTCTGCGTTTTAAGCGAATCCAGCCCAGCTCTTTCACTCTCCTCTCTTCAGACCTGCTCTCCAGTACCCTCAGCACCCTCACAGACCTTCTCTGCATCTGCTCTGGTCTCAATTCCTCTGTCCTGCACATGGGTGACCTGAATTGGTTCCAGATGGGAAGCCAGTTTCATGGCAGCTCCTGGCGCACCCTGAAGAGTGATGGGAGGTGTTTGCTGAGGTCGCAGCACTGGTCCAGGTCAGCTGAAGTGCAGCAACCCACGCCCCCGGGAAAGGTGCCCAGCGGCAGGCCTGGCCCCGGAGCCTGCCTTGGGAGCCCCAGAGCTAGGGGCCGTGGCTTGGCTTGGCCCAGATGTGTCTCGCTCAGAATCATGTGAGGCCTGGCATTTGGGTCTGCTTGCCACAGATTAGCTCCTGCACAGTGGGGCTGAATCAGGTGCAACCAGGGTGATGCTTTACCCTCTATAGGCACAGTCCGGGGGAGCAGGAAATGGAGAGGTTGCACCCCTCAGAAAGTTCAGATGACACACGCACAGGCCTGTGTGGGAAAGATGTGGCTTCTGGCTGAGACCCTCAGAAACCTCAGGGTCATGATGCAAACACTGTGGTTCCTTTTTTCTCACATTCAAGATGCCAGGGATAAAGCCACTTGGTGAGGAATGGCCCACAGCCTGGAGTGCTGCACAGCTGGGGCCATGTAAAGCTGGAGCAATGGAATGCACTGCAGGGGCCATGCAGAGGCAGATGCATCTAGAGTGGCTGAATCCTAGTGATTTGTTTTTCCTACTGCCCTGGTCTGACAGACAGCCCCAGGAGGGACAGAGATCCAGGAGGGAAGGAAACACTCACAGGGATGGGATTTCATAGAATTCTGTGTTGATTCCAGAGCACAGAATCTGGCCTGTAAAATTAACAAGTTAAAAGGGCAGATGGTGGGGAGGGAAGGGGACTTTTACTACCCAGATATCTTCTGGAAAAGTTATACGGCAAGACACAACATTTCCCAAAAGTGCCTGGAATGTCTTGGGGACACCAAAGGGCCTGGTTTTTCACTTTGCATCTGACTCACTTCTCTCCCCGGGTCTCTCTGTTTGTGTTGTGTCTGTCTGAGGACATGCCCCGTTACCCTCAGAACAATATTCGGTGAAAACCTTTCCTCCTGAGTCATTAGAATTCCTACGTTTGTACAGGGTTTTACATCAGCCTAGGGGATTCTGGAGCAAAGGTAGAATTTTCTCTGTTGAGTTCTGTAAGCCCTCTACAAATGCTGAACATTTTTATACGTATTACATTCTTCAAGGTTTTCTACCATCAAAATTCCTAGCTGCACCGTGTCATTGGCTGGCTTTAAAACTTTCACCGAATCAGGGAATAGGAACAGGGTGGTCATTAAAGGAGAGAAGGGCCTGGAAAGAGCTGTGAGGGGGACCAACATGTGGCTGTCAGGTTGAATCATCCACACACAGGAGGGCAGGTTCATGTGGAGGTATCCCTGGGATAGGGCCTGTAACAGGAGGCAGAGACCCATGCTGCTTCTGTGAGTGGGGATATCTGGAAGAAGCAGGGAGATCTTCAGAGATTAACTGCTGGTGTCCCTGGTGAAGGGAAGCAGCAGGGAACTATGCTGGGTGAGAAGAAAGAGGAGAGAAGCCAGAAGCAGGGGCCAAGAGGACTTCAGTGGAGCCAGGCGGGGTAGAAAAACTGTTTGTTTGGACACTTGAAGTGGACTTGAAGTTGCCCCTTGTTGTTAGCCCAGAAAGGGGTGTGGCCAGTTGAATAATTTTGGCTGGATGCCCCAGAAAACCCGGAGAGGGAAGCGGCAGAAGACATCAGCAGCCGAGGAAGTAGCCAGGTGAAGTCCCCCGTATAATCGGGAGAATGGTCCTGCTTTAATCTAGCAGACAAAGGCATGACAAGAGCCAATGGCTGGGAGCTGAAGCTAGAGAAATTAAGGCAAGACTCATAGAACTGCAAGGGACCTCAAGAGGTCATCTAGTCCAGTCCCCTGCACCCCATCTATAACATCCCTGACAGGTGTTTGTCTAACCTGCTCTTAAAAATCTCCAATGACGGAGATTCCACAACCTCCTTAGGCAATTTATTCCAGTGCTTAACCACTCTGACAGTTAGGAAGTTTTTCCTAGTGTCCAACCTAAACCTCCCTTGATGTAATTTAAGTCCATTGCTTCTTGTCCTATCCTCAGAGGTTAAGGAGAACAATTTTTCTCCCTCCTCCTTGCAACAACCTTTTAGGTATTTGAAAACTGTTATTATATCCTCTCTTAGTCTTCTCTTTTTCAGACTAAACAAACCCAGTTCTTTCAATCTTCCCTCATAGGTCATGTTTTCCAGACCCCTAATCGTCCTTGTTGCTCTTCTCTGGACTCTCTCCAATTTGTCCACATCTTTCCTGAAATATGCCGCCCAGAACTGGACACAATACTCCAGTTGAGGCCTAATCAGCACAGACTAGAGTAGAAGAATTACTTCTCGTGTCTTGCTTCCAACACTCCTGCTAATACATCCCAGAAGGATGTTTGCTTTTTTTACAACAGCATTACATTGTTGACTCATATTTAGCTTGTGGTCCACTATGACCCCCAGATCCCTTTCCGCAGTACTCCTTCCTAGGCAGTCATTTCCCATT